TTTAACTGCAAACGGATTGTCCGAGGAGGACTAACGGAATGGCCTCCAAGACCACCTGATCTGTCTCCCTTGAATTTCTCTCTGTGAGCATATCGAAGGCGAACCGTTTACTCCCGAAAACCGAGAACGATTGAGGGGCTAAATAGAGTATCGTCGCGCAGTACAAAAGTATTCCAACTGCTACTATTCTGAAGGTGGCAGAAAACTATCTTCGCCGTATTTTGCTATGCAAGCAGCCGGATGGAAAATATATTGAACGACTTATGAAATAAATATGCATCTTTCAATAAGGTTTTTTCTCCCCTACGGAATTCAATCTCCGACGTAGTTAGCAAGATCGTTTAGCGCGGAAGAAGCCAGTTAGAAAATGTCAAGAAGAGTTTTGCGCTGGCCTATATTAGTGTTTGTTGTAGTCCACACTTAAGACAAATTCGAAGTTTTATCATGCTTATCCGTTTACCAAACCCGCTCAGAAAAATAGTGCGTGTATCTTAGACGAGCCAAACGCTGACCCAGTATCATTATTGCTTGAGCATTTTCTATTCCGAATTTCCCATATGGCGTATCGTTCCACAACTGATTCTCCTGTAGTGGTTCTCTAACAACGCTTAAGCAGGATCGAGTTCAGAATTTATCCTCCTCCTATGCCGGCCCGAAAACCACAAGACCGATCGGGTTCATTTATCGATCGGTCGATAGTTCAGCTACAGCAAGGGACCTGGTGCTTGCCCTTTTTCCTTAGTAAACGATACCAGTCGCCGTATTGCACCACCACGACATGACTGAGGTCACGTTTTCACCCTGCACTGTACGATCCACATAGCAACGTGTCATCTTAATTTGATTTTCAGACATCTTAGATTGAAAAAAATTTAGTCTACACTCAGTATGGCGGAAGGGAATTCGGGCAACAGGGTATATACGTACAAGGAATCGATCGACAGTCCACGAGTCGATTTCCGTCATATTGTGCTTCGTCAAATCACCCAACTCATCCGGTGAACTTTCGATTTTCACCGCTTCGGGACGGTCATGAGTGAACAGTTGCACCACTTCGTGTGTGCCCCAGGCCCAGCCACGTCGTGTACGATTGAACAGTGAGTCAAATTCGACCGCATTGGCCTGCCAACCTGGACGAGGAAAGGAATCGTTAGGCCACAACATGGTTTTTCATTGTCTACCTCTTATGCACAAAGTTTTGGGACAAACAATGCTCTACGTGGAATTTTACAACATAGACTGAAAGCCATAGAGATTACGAAATTGCACTGCCTTACATAAACTCGTCTGTGAATAGACATGTTATGAGTATAGATAATTACTCAGTAGAACTCAGGCGTAATGGGAGAATAGGAGGCAGAAGTGTGCGCTTACTCATCTAACAATAGGCGTATACGGTCTACAAATAAAAACAGAAGTGGTAGGACACGTAATACGAGCCAGGAAAAATGATATTAACGACTACAAGATTAATCTTATGCTATAGTTCAAAGAGAAAAGCACTTAGAGACTAGTTAGAACAGGCTTCTCTTAGCTTCTCGGGAGGGATTCTTTGGTTATCCTCATCAGGTTAGAATATCTGAAGAGCTTTGAGTGTTGATCACAGAGGTTGACTCTCTATCCATCAATCTAATTTACACATTCGCACATACTTTTTGTACATTGTGTGCCTGGCAGCGATTAGCGAAGTCTATTTTCGTGTATCTTAACCGGCGTTGATGATGACTACCATTTCACGTTGAGTTATATCTCTATGACGGTTCTATCGTCGTCCGGATCAGCACCACCGCCTGGCCATCGGGAGCCTTATGTGGTTCGCCACTCCAAGTTCAAGAGCTAGGTTGCCGGTTACCGCTCATCTCACTATGAATACTACAACTAACAGGATCAAGTTGCAAGCACACTCTCACTCGACAATCGCACTTACTAACTTTCGCTGCTTGAACCATAATATTGATTCTGAACATCCATTTCTTCAGTGCACTTCCCCTCTTGCTCTATTTTATCCGAGAGCGGTGGTTAAGTGGTCAGGTCACCAACTTGTGACCAGAGAGTCCCGGGTTCGAACCGCTCCACCACCGCCCGTCTTCCCAGGTAGCCTTTGTATGGCCGCGGCCTCCCTTCCAGAATGTTGACTGTTCATCTGTAAATTCAATAAAAAAAATAAAACTTTCCCTTCTACAGAGACCACCCATCTTTAGTTTCCCAATTATTCCCTTCACACTTTGTTCATCCCCAAAGCTAGTATCTTCATCCATCATTCAATTGTATCTACTCCGTTCTCCCACTTAAATCTCACCAACCACGAGTTCCAGACTCTGTGTCTGAAACTCCGGTTCCCTTCTTTGAATTCCTACTTCTGCACTGTGTACTTTTCTCCAAATAGTAAGCACCCTTCACTCTTTGATGTTTTATCGGCAAACATAGATAGCATGAATCGGACCCCAACGATCAGTTCACACTTATGGGTGATTAGAATGCTATAACAGGGATTGGCTGTTACACTCTTCACGGACGTCGCTCCTTGGACGTGAAACAGAATCATTTGCCCTATGAAACAGCCTCCACCAACTGGTTAATTTCCGGAACGCACTGGCGACCACGCTCATACCCTCGATCCTGTCCTCACATCCCACTCACAATTGTTTTTAAATGTTTCAGCAATTCCTCTCCCGGGCTTATCGGATCATTGTCTTACTTCGCTCTCTATCCAAGTCATCTGTTCCAATGTTCCTCCCGATTCTAGATGGACATTCTGACGACATGGTTCCGCTTATTGGTGCAGCTTTCGTAACTTTCTGGCCTCCTGCCCCCGGAATGAATGTTGCTGTTCCGCCGATGTCTCCATCTCAGTTTCGAATTTTTCCAAAGTTCTTTTGCAAGGTATGCAGCTATTTATTCTGGATTTCACTA